TGCCAATCATGCAACCATTTCAGGTAATCGTAGGATCCCTTGGATTATTGATTTTGGTACTTCTGATCATATGACCAGCCTTTCTACTTTGTTTGTTTCATATGATTTACTTCCTGGGCGTGACAAAATCACCCTAGCTGAAAGCTCTCTTGCCCCTATCTCCGACAAGGGAACCATCAAGGCTACAGACTCATTGGTTCTTCCTTCTGCTCTTCATGTATCCAGACTAAATACAAACTTGTTATTTGTAAGTAACCTAATTAAGTCGTTAAACTGTTGTGTAAACTTCCTTCCTACTATGTTTTTTAAGATCTGGAGTATCAGAAGGTGATTGGGAGTGGCCGTGAGGCGAATGGAATATATCTGTTGGATACTCCTGGACAGTGCCATGAATAACCTAGAAAAGCTGCTTTTGCGTCTACATCTACAGAGTCCATCAGTTGAGTCATGTCATTTTCGTTTGGGTCATCTTTCTTCTTCTGCATTAAGTCATTTATTCCCAAAACTGTTTAAGGGAATTAATTTGTCCAGTCTTCATTGTGAGTCTTGTGAACGAACATTGTAGAAACAGTTATCTTCTGAGTAATAAAAGATACTCTTCTCCTTTTAATATTGTGCACTCTGATGTGTGGGGGCTTTACCACTTACCTTCTATGGGTGGCTACAAATATTTTATCTTGTTCATTGATGACTTTTCTCGATTCACTTGGATATTTTTTATGAAGTTTCGTGATGAAGTTCCCAGACTTGTGAGGCAATTCCATGAATTTGTCATAACCCAGTTTGATACCAGAATTAAAATTTTCAGATCCAACAATGCAAAAGAATATTTTGAGAAAAACCTGACCTGCTATCTCACTGATTTAGGGGTTATTCACCAAAGCTCCTGCGTTAGGACCCCAGAACAGAATGGAGTTGCTGAAAGAAAAAATAGACATATTGTTGAAGTTGCAAGAAGTATTCTATTTGCCTCACATGTCCCTACAAAATTTTGAGGTGATGTTGTTCTCACTACTACCTACCTTATAAACCGTAGGCCATCCAGGGTTTTAGGGTTTAAGTCTCCCTTCAATCTTCTTCGTCCGGACAATGATCTTTTTCCTATTCCTCTTCGTGTCTTTGGTTGCACTTGTTATGTACATATCCCAAGTGTCCAGAGACATAAATTTGAACCAAAAGCACACAAGTGTATCTTCCTTGGTTATTCCCCCACACAGAAGGGTTACTGTTGTTTTGATCCGAAGACTGACACTCGGTAT